TTCCATTCGTTGACACTTGAACATAAAGGAACCAAGGGTACCTGCGCCTTTGCCTTCTCCAAATCTACGAAAGCTCCCCAACTCAATCGGCTCCGCAGCCCCGATGGGGTTCGGCCTTCGCTAAGAAGATCTGCCGAGGGACCATCTGTCGTGCTGATCACAGCCATTTCGAAGCGCTTGTAGTTGAGGGGAGAGCTGCGAGAAGGCATTTTGGGACGGCTTCCCCCGCAATTTGTACTTCCACTGGACCGCCCATCTTTGCGATCTGATGATCGATTCATGTGTTCGCGCTTCCCCTCGTCCGTCGCTAGGCATCTTTGCCGAGATTGCGGACAGAAAACACCCATCTAGGTGGCCAGATGGCCAGATCAGGGCCATGTTCTCGAGCCGCCAGGTCGAAATTCCGGCTCCGACGAGCAAAGCTAGTCAAAGTTTGTGCTTTACCCCGGATCCCCATCAAGCTTGCTGCATCCCCGGCGACCCGCCACGTTGCGATGAATCCTTGATTCGTGGAAGTTTCTCTCCTGAGCACGTCAGAGATGCCACTCGGCCGTAAGGCATTGTGGCGGGATAGCAGAGGGCGAGCTCTTGTCCATACGTGATGTGAAGACACGATGATGTCCTCAACATGTGGGAATAGCGATTTACGGGACATATAAGGCGTATCACGCGGCTGCAAACAGAGGATCGTGATGCCAGGCCTCCACGCACTCCACTACCAAGAGACAAACCCACACAGCCGGTACACTGCCCCGCGTCAGCGCCCGTCATCATGAAGTTCCTCAGCCTCATCCTTGCACTCACCGCCCTGGCGCCCGTCGATGCCAGGCCGAAGAAGGCGGCCAAGCCTCCCTACTTCGTCCTCACTGGCGACTCGACAGTTGCCGTCGCCGGAGGCTGGGGCGACGGCTTCCTGTCTTACGTGAAGGCCCCCGCAGACGGCATCAATCCTGCCAAGAGCGGCGCGACGACCGCCTCGTTCAGGGCCGATGGCCGTTGGAACACGACCATCACCGCCGTCCAGGAGAACGTCGACACCCACTCCCCCATTGTCACCATTCAGTTCGGTCATAACGACCAGAAGGCCACGTCGGGCATCTCTCTGGAGAAGTTTCAGGCCAACCTCGTGGCCCTCGCCGAAGAGGTCATCGCTGCCGGCGGCACACCTGTAAGTGTCCACCCATGCCAAAATTTGGACATGATCTCCCGTACTGACCTGTGCGATGCCAGATCCTCATCACCTCGTTGACGCGCCGCGCCTTCAACGGAAGTGCCGTCATTGAGAACCTGAACGAGCACAGCGCCGCCGCCATCGCCGCTGCCGAGAGCCTCGGTATTGACTACCTCGACCTCAACAAGGCCAGCACGGCGTATGTCAATGCCATCGGAAAGGCCAACGCTGACCTCTACAACCTTTCGTCCGGCGACAGGACACACCTCAACCCATCCGGCGAAAAGGTCTTTGGCCGTTTGGTGGTCGACCTGCTGCTGAAGAAGCGCAAGGACCTCCGCCGCTACTTCGAGAAAGACGTGGCTCTGAGCAAGAAGATTGCGGCGGGCGAGTACGCCACTGGCGATGAGTAGAGGTTTGAAGGATGGAGCATCCATGTTCAGAACTTTCTATTGATGCCTTGGATATAATGCGTCCTGGAACTGTACGAAAGGGGATGGATGACTATTTTGGTGTCATTGGTGCGGTTTTCGTCGTGTTCTTTCCAGACAAGCAGCTTGTCATGGCGAGTCGGGATTTGTGGGCAGTCTGAATGTGTATCAGCAAGCTGTCATGAAGGAAAGCAACAATGAATCATGAAGAAGATAGCCAATGAGCATCACAACGCAGGGTGATTGTGCGGTACAGTGAAGGTTGTCTTTGACAAGTATGCTGTTCGTTTGGAAGCGTCCAGATGCGACAAGAAGATTACCACCTATTCCTCTTGCCCCTGTTAGCAATGGCATGGTAACAGGTGAGAGGCGCCTTAACTCTCCCGTTCGAAACCAAATCAGGTCCGCGAGAGGCTGAGGATCGTGACTTTGACCTTGATGACTGCCGTCGAGTCAGTGCCGAACGAGCCATGCTGTTTGTGGCCGCCGGAGCTCTCAAATCCAAACGAAACACCCTTTGGTGAGGACCTTCTCGTCATGACCTGTCTGCTATGGGCCATGTATTCATGCCCATGTTGTCGCGCGACGTCGTGGACCCTGAGCAGAAACTGACGGTGCTTGGCAAGTTCTTTGCCAGGCGCCGCCGTGCACCTGGCCCAGTTGGTGAATTCGCAATCTCTTCCGAAAGAGGGGGTTCGCTGCATGACTGCATGCGCAGATTTGCATCCTCGTAAATTGCGTGGCAGATGCATGGTAAGCTGCAGGCGTCGCTTGAAACTGGCGAGCCGTGCAGTTGGATTTAGGTTGAGGTTGACATGGCCTGGATTGATGCGGCCGCCGTTGCGAGGCTAGGATGGACGCCGCGCGTGGACGCCACCAAGGAGCTTGGCCATCATACGATAAATCCCGATAGTCTGAATGTAGGATTTATTTCAGGAACAGACCAGAGATCTGCATCTTGTCTGTTGGATGTTATCACGTTGTGATTTGTATCGCGATCCCAATCACCTGCGACGGTTAAGCGCTGTAGCACGGTGAGTCTGAGCGTTTCCTCCGCGCTCACCGACCCAGCGACGGGTATTTGTGTTTTTCCTCGTCTATGCCAAGACGCCAGGACTTCTATTTCGGGTGTGGCGACCTGCGCCGCACCTGCATGCATATCTGATTTCTTGGGACATTGGGGGGATTTTGGTGCTTGGCAGCGCTTTGCATTGCAGTATCTGTGAGCAGCCAATCCGTTGGTGACAAGGCCGAACATGTCGCGACTGTCTCTCGAGGATGCCGTGACAAACACCTCATGAACAGGGGACTGCGGCCGCTTTGGGCAAGTGATTGGAATCGCAGAACTTGTGATAAGTCAGGTGTCCGGCCGATGCGTACCCCAGTCATGGCCAAGCCGCCTTCTGACTCGACTCAAGTAAGTTCACAAACGCCCTGGTAAATATCTCGTCGCGCTCATATTGAACAGCACTGGCTATACCCCAGTGAAGGCCCATGTTGGCGCAGAAGTCAAGTCGGGGCAAAAATCTGGCCGGATGCTACACGCGACGGGAAACCGATCAAGCCGACAATGGAGTGCCTTCTCAACGCGGCCCTTGTGCCGGGCTTGGCCTTGTCTATTGCCTAGACTGCCGGGAGTTAAGAGACGCTACGTACCTCGCTTAGTGGCTTAGGCAACTGGGAAGTATCAGCTCAGAGGGTATAATATCCGTTTTGGAGTCAAGCCAGCTTCTGTTGCCGATGGGCGGGACGCGGCACGGACGGCAAACCCCAGGTTTTCAGTGCGCACACACTGCCGTAGCTCTGAGTCGGAACGAGCTACAAGCAAGTGAAGATCGGATGAGGAGGGAGCTCGGTGAACTCAGCCTTGCATGTGCTTGTTGGTCGCTGTTGTGCTCTTCACTGCTCGCGCGCTCGATGATCTGTGATGCCATATGCTGAGAGCATGTGCTGAGATCCCTGGCGTAGAATGCCCAGACCGACCTCGTTTCGACAAAATGCGACATTAAGACGATCTCAATTCGTTCATGCGTCACATCTCTTGTCTGTCAATCCACATGTTCCCCGCCCCATAGCAAGCAGGTCGCACAAAGAAAGTGTGGATGACTGCCGTTTCGCCGCCCAACCAACCCGCAAGCGGCCCGCACTCCCTCCAATGCCAGAAATCTGCTTGATAAGCTGTCTAGGAAGTCCCCTGTCTTCTTCATAAGCTTGTTTGTTGTGGTGAGGGAGCAGGGAAGACAGTCCAGAAGGGAGACTCGCGCGTTCGCTCAGCCCCCCTACCGCCCCACCCACGTGTCTCTGTCTAACCACTTTGAAGCTGTGTACGTCAGCCAGGACTCTGCATCGAAAGGGGGTTACATGACGTTGGGCCTAGAATCAGTGCGAGGAGAGCTGCATGCAAGGAACCACCTGCCTGATGTGTGTGTCTGCTCAAATTGCGGGTTCGCTGGAAAGTTTATTATAGTCGCATCCCGATTCTGGTCCTCGCCTGGAAACTGCCGGGATAGAATCCGACCCCGAATGTAAATGCCGGAATTGAGAATGAACGACCTGCGATTGGTCGCCGGGCCCGGCTGGCCTATGTCTTTGGCTGCCCCGTCTTGGTGCTTTGTCTACGAGAGGACCTGGTTAGCTAGTTGGGCCAGTGTAATGCAAGTCAGCCGATCCGTGGCCTCGCAGTATCGCGCATCATATGATTTGATCCTGATAATCTTAACCCAGCAAACTCTCCCCGCCGGAGCGCGCCATCTTGAATGCTGTGACCCAGGCGCTTACAGGCTTTGTATGCAACGTGATGACAGGGCCTCTAAGGCCCCAAGCCTGGAGCAGCATGTAGAGAGGCCCACCCGAGCTCGATACACCATGTTCGTCCCACATGCAACCTCCCGGTATGGTAGGTCTTCTGCAACTCTTTCTCCAGAGGAGGGTTGGCGATCGGCTGTGACCGCAAATCCTCACCTCTCCCACATGTTGCCCCACGCAAGGATCCTGACCTCATCCCATCGGGCCAAGCCCCACGCCCGGAACTGTATGTCAGATCAGGCTGCTGCGAGAATTCCGCCTTTCCGTTGTCTTTTACTATAAGAGGACCCTGATGATCTCCCGCCGTGACAAGAAAGACATCGGACCCAGCACCGTGTCTCTCACCTGCCTCGGACCAGCAGCACTTGCACGCTATCTGGAGGATCGTCATTGACTTTCTCAAGTCCTTCTGTTTCCTCCCCCAGCATGTTGTACTCCACTCTAGCTGGCTGTCTCCTGACAGCCCTGCCTATCGTCAACGCTGCCGGCACCTGTCCCTTCTCCAAGCGCGAGGAGTCCTCCGAGACTCTCGACAAGAGGCAGAGCAACGCCATCCCCAACTTTGGACGATGCGCCGTCCAGAGCAACGTTGCTGGCGGTGGCACCAGGAGCAGTGACTGGTGGCCTTGCCAACTGAGGCTCGATATCCTGCGCCAGTTCTCCTCAGAGATCAACCCTGAAGGCGGCGACTTTGATTACACCGAGGCTTTCAAGACCTTGGACTGTGAGTTTATTCTAATCTCCTAGAGTAAAAGCTTCATAGCCTCATTAGAGGCTGTGTGCAACCAACCTTTCGCTAGCTGTGGCGCATGCTGACGAGAAACCATCTCAGACGCCGCCCTGAAGAAGGATCTGCTCACGCTCATGACGGATTCTCAGGACTGGTGGCCGGCTGACTTTGGTCACTATGGTGGCTTCTTCATCCGCATGGCTTGGCACAGCGCCGGTACCTACCGCGCTCTCGATGGCCGCGGTGGTGGTGGCATGGTAAGTGGCGGCGCCTCGCTCCCGTCATCCGTCAGCCAACATCGGCAGCTAACGTGAGACTGGAAATAGGGCCAACAGCGTTTTGCGCCCCTCAACAGCTGGCCTGATAACCAGAACCTCGACAAGGCTCGTCGCCTGCTTTGTAAGTCCAACACGAGTTCTACTCTCAAAGCCATTTCCGAAGTTACCGAAAGCTGACCTCTGTCTGCAGGGCCCATCAAGCAGAAGTATGGCAACAAGATCTCCTGGGCTGACCTCATGCTTCTCACCGGCAACGTGGCTCTCGAGTCCATGGACTTTAAGCCCTTCGGCTTTGCTGGTGGTCGTCCCGACACCTGGCAGTCCGACGAAGGCATCTACTGGGGTGCCGAGACCGCCTTCGTTCCTCAGGGTAACGATGTTCGTTACAACGGCAGCACCGATGTTCGTGAGCGCGCTGAGCACCTCGAGAAGCCGCTCGCTGCCACTCACATGGGCCTGATCTATGTCAACCCCGAGGGACCTAACGGCAACTCGATCCCCGCCGACTCTGCTCTCGATATCCGTGTGGCTTTTGACCGCATGGGTATGAACGATGAGGAGACTGTCGCTCTCATTGCCGGTGGACACGCCTTTGGCAAGACCCACGGCGCTGTCAAGGGTGGTATGTTCTTAGTTCTTGATCCAGCTCCTTCTCTCCAGAGCTAACATGCCCATCCAGAGAACATCGGCCCCGAGCCTGAGGCCAACGACATGGGAATGGGCCTCGGCTGGCACAACCGCGTCAACAACGGAAACGGCCCCGACACCATGACCAGTGGCCTAGAGGTCATCTGGACCAAGACGCCCACCAAGTAAGCATCCCCAGAGTCGATTGCCCGATGTTTACTGACGGGTATTTATCTAGGTGGAGCAACGGCTACCTTCTCAGTCTGTTGAACAACCAGTGGGAGCTTGTTGAGAGCCCTGCCGGCTCCAAGCAGTGGCAAGCCATCAACGGAACCATCGACTACCCCGACCCATTCGACAAGACGAAGTTCCGCCCTGCCACTATGCTCACTAGCGATCTTGCTCTCATCAACGACCCCTCGTACCTGAAGATTTGCAAGCGCTGGGTCGACCACCCCGAGGAGCTCGCCGACGCCTTCGCCCGTGCCTGGTTCAAGCTTCTGCACCGTGACATGGGACCCCGTTCTCGCTACCTCGGCCCTGAGGTGCCTAAGGAACAGCTCATCTGGCAGGACCCTCTCCCTGCCGCCAAGGGCAGCCCCATCAACGACGCCGATGTCGCCTCGTTGAAGAAGACTATTCTTTCCACTTCAGGCCTGACCGTCTCCAACCTCGTGACTGTTGCCTGGGGCTCCGCCTCAACCTACCGCAACTCAGACAAGCGTGGTGGTGCCAACGGTGGCCGCATCGCTCTCGAGCCCCAGCGCAGTTGGGCCGTTAACAACCCCGCTCAGCTGACCAAGGTCCTCACTGCCCTCAAGGGCGTCCAGAGCAGGTTCAACCGCAACGGCAAGAGCGTCTCTCTCGCTGATCTCATCGTCCTCGGTGGTACTGCCGCCGTCGAGAAGGCCGCCAGGGATGCCGGGTTCAACATTGTCGTTCCCTTTGCCCCTGGTCGTGTCGATGCCACCCAGGACCAGACCGACGTTACATCCTTCGGCCACCTTCAGCCCGCGGCCGACGGCTTCCGCAACTACGGCCAGAGCACGGCCCGCGCCCGCGCCGAGGAGATCCTTGTTGACAAGGCCTCCCAGCTCAAGCTCAGCCCTCCCGAGCTCGCTGTTCTCGTCGGCGGCCTCCGCGTTCTGGGCGCCAACTTTGACGGCTCCAAGAAGGGTGTTCTGACGTCCAAGGTCGGCCGCCTGACTAACGACTACTTTGTCAATCTCCTTGACATCCGCACCAACTGGACTCCCGACAGCAGCTCCGAGGTCTGGACTGGCAAGGACCGTGCCACCGGTGCCACCAAGTGGACCGCCACGCGCGCCGACCTCGTTTTCGGTTCTCACGCAGAGCTCCGCGCCGTTTCTGAGGTGTACGGCAGCGCTGACGCCGCTGAGAAATTTGTCAGGGACTTTGTTAAGGCTTGGGTTAAGGTCATGAACCTTGACCGCTTTGACCTTTAGAAGATAGCATCCACACTTTGATGGGTCGGTCTTTTTCTTCTTCCGAAAGTTTATAAGTTTAAATTTTTATCCAGTTTTGATGTCACATTGTTTGACCCACGATCGTCGAAATTCCGTGTGCCTTGTGCCTGGACACCGCGGAAATGCCGCGCATATCGCCTCCATTCCGTCGCAACTGGCTGACACGATTTGAGAAGACCACTGCCATGCTGAAATCTCTCATATTAAACGTCTGACACTTTTGAACTGCGATCAAGTCTTTGTTTGGTCGGGTGGCCTCATATTGGCCACCCTTCGGGGTCTGCATTCTTCGCAGCAGCGACGGTTGCATCCGGGCTACCCATCATTGTGGCTAACACGGCTCCAACAAGGGCTGTACCGCCGCCGATTAATCTTAAGATTGGTCAGCCAAACAAAACTCAATTGATAATCGTTATTTGGCTTATACCCATGTGGATTTGAATGGCCCAGTGTCTGCCTTGGATTCGGCAGCGTCGTTGCCTCCAGTCGTACCGTACGATCTCGACGGCCTCACCTTGCGCATTGCTAGCCCGCCAAGGACCCACTCGAATCGTCTGTTTCAACATGCTGACTGATGGTTGTAAATTGTTGCTGGGGAGCGAATGCCGTAGTACAATGGTGCCGCTGAAAGTAAAATCAACCCCGGCCTGGCCGGATAGTATTGGCTGGATATATAGGCTCGAGAGTTTGAGATTGTGGCGACAATAGAGGCCCCCTCTTGATCACCCAATGCTGCCGTCAATGACTTTCGATGCGACCATGGTTTTATCGTATGATAACATACCTTTGGGTTCGGCAACAATCTTGGCTCCTTAACGTTGTATTCAGTCAGCGTCAGCATGACGCGGCGGCTACGAAGCTCTCTCGTGCACGTTAGAGCCCAAATTGAAAGTAACGCGAGGGAGGGGTAGCCCCGCAACCGTGGTTGTTTGGAGCTATATCATAAGCAAATCACGTATTGTTTTGCATCTGTCATCTGATTTACTGGAGATGGCGTTTTTCTGTTGACGACTTCGCTTGCAGTACATGCGGAAGGACTCTTGCTATCGAGGGGGTAGTGATTCGGCTAATTCCGTCTCTCTAATGCGAAGTCTCATCCAGCGACACTTCGTTTGTGTCTCAAGTGAAATTCTTATTTTTCTGCTACGAAGTGCGAGACATCCTCCACGAGAATCTACCTGCCAGTCCCTGGCACCTCAGATTGTAGTCAACGAGTGGCGATGCCTGCTGCAGCAGAGATTGAGAACTTGGTCTCGACGAAGCATTTCACCAATCCCATTTCCCGCTTCTCCTGCTTGTGAGTAGGCTTTGCTGATGTCGTCAAACTTGAAACGATGCGTGAGCATGATCGTGGGGTCAATCTCTCCTGCTCCACCATCTCAAGAATCTCATCCTAGTCTAAGGGTTGCTCAGGTTAGCGATGGGCTCTGGGTAAACTTCTAGGAGAAATTGGATCTATATGACTTGCACTTCTGAACCGGAGCCTGACCACAGCCGATCAAGCGGATGCCGCGCTCCATCAGCGACCCGACGTTAAAGTGTTTGGTGACTGTGCAAAGTGTCAACAAGGTCGTCGAACTGCGTATTGTAAGTACTTACATCCGACGTAGTCGCCGATAAGTCCTACAGCACCGAACTTCTGAGTCGACATGATGGACTCGTTAATCATCTAGCTTGTGTCTTGCTCGGTGCCAACTGCCAACTCCAAAGAATGCGCCCATCCTTTGCCGTACTCTCCGCCCGTCGCATCAATGCTGACGTTGGCACCTCCCGGCAAAATCTCATGGACCTTGGCGGGCACAGTCCCTGTAGCCTTCAAGTGTCTGAAATTGATCGTTTTGAGGCCTGGGATCTTTGACTCGGCATAAGCACATCGCCAGTTGCTGTCAATTCCGATGACCTGCTTGTCACCCCTGACGTAGGTCCAAGCACTTGCCATCAGGCTGATTGGGCCAAGGCCCCAGATGGCAGCATCATCACCTTCTTTGACCCTAGAGTAAACGACGCTGTGGTAGGAAGTATGGAGAACGTCCGACAAGTAGATACCTACTGGTGTTAGCACTAGGTTCATTGGATCATCTGGTGTGGTCCATTACCCTTATCGTTGGGAAGAGAATTCGGAACCTTCAGCAATTTGTTGTCGGCCGGCGGCACCCGCACGTCCTCGGCATGACCGTCAGCGAAACCACCAGTGAAGTAGGAATAACCAAAGATGCCGCCCAACTGCGAGCCATACAGCTGTTCGTGAGGGGCAGAGGCATTGGTCTTCTCACAGGCCATCGTCAAGTTTTGCTTGCAGTATCTGCATTCGCCGCAATACACGACGAAACCGGCTATTTTGGTGATGCTTTGATGTAAACATAGAATGGGATGCGCAATATGTTGAGTATCGAGGAACCATCAAGGTGCCGCGACGAATAAGCCCATTATCTAAATACAATGTGGTTGCGATGTGTTGGCTGGTGTTATAAAGTATGTCACGTAGAGAACGGTTATGTGACGAAGCCATGAATCAATGTCATGCGATTAATGTCTATGATATCGTTCTTAATTGAGGCCTCCTTTAGAGTCTCCCCACCGTGTTGGGAATGAAACGGATCGCCCGGGTCAGCATATTACAGATTCAATGCTCAAGTAGTTGGTCAGTGGGTTGCATTCACTGGTACTGTTTACTCAGAACGACAACATCTGCCAAAACCACATAGAGTACTATGACCCACAAACACACATGTCATCAAATCTTTGCCTAATCGTGCGCTCAGCATAACTCAAGGTCATCCACTCATGGTGAGATTCAAGGTCACTTATGAATCATGGCATAAACCTCAGCTCCATTACCCTGCCAATGTGAGTGCAGGACTTTCACTGATGGAACCATGCCATGTGCAGACGCTCAGCACGAAGTTTGGCAGTACTCTAAATCAGATTTCAGTATGAAAATGTTCCCAAAGTCCCCCCATGGCGATGCATGCTAATCCAAGTATCAGGCTGGCAGGAGATGACTGTGCAAAATTGTTCATTTCCGCTGCCACAGCGAGTAATTATGCCCTGCTTGTAGTAGGCTGTGTAGCATCCGCTCTCAGGATGTCGTTGAGTTCATCTCTCGTCCTGCAGTTCTCAATCGCAAAGCTGGCAGCCAGCTCCTCCAGCTCCTCCTCGGTCTTATCTTTGAATAACTCCGCAAATTCGTAGCCGAGGTATTCACTCATCAGCAGCTCCCGCACAGTCCTCTCGACTTGGCGGTCAAAGGTCCAGATATTGGGGTACTTCTTTTTGTGCAGATGCTCCGGGATCATAGCCTTGAGCTTAGAAATGAAAGGGCCATAGACGTCACCATCGACACCGCTCTTGTCGACAACGCCCCAGAAATCAAGACCGAGCCTCTGCTTCTTCTCGACGAAGGGTTGGATGAGGCGCATATACGGGCTCTCGGGGTCGAGGTACACCATACCCTGGTAGCCGATATCCTTGTAGAGCCAAATACTCCACGACACACCACCAAATTCACGATAGATGGACAGTTGCTCTTTCAGCAGGGCGAAACGCTTGGCATTGGTGACCGCGGCGTCAGGATCGATTCTTGGGTTCTGGTACACGGGGCCAAATTCCCCGTTCCAGATCGGCACGCCGGCTTGGCGCATAAACTCGACCTTGCGGTTGAAGCTTGAGCGCAGCTTGGACTTTTGTTCCTCTGTGCCTTCATACTGCTCAGGCAGAGGGAAGCCCATCATGCTGTAATCGTGACAGCTGTAAACGGTGTTGGGCAGAGGCTTCTCAGGGTCAAAAGCGCGGAAGTCCATAGCGTACGTGTTTCCGTCAACGAAAAGAATATGCTCGGGGTCGATGGCGCGGATGGCCTTCTCGGCGCGCTCGTACCAGGCCTGAAGGCGGGTGTGCTGCGGGTCTGCGGGTTCATTGAGAGGATTATATCCCGCAATAACAGGGTTGCCAGCGTAATGTCTTGCCAGAGCCTCCCAGAGCTGGATGGCACGATCCTGGAAGTCTCGGAACTCCCAGAACAAAGCGCGACTCAAGCCGGAGTCGCTGTGCCAGTCTTGGTTTTGACCACCTGGAACGGCGTGCAAGTCGAGGATGACGTAAATATTGTGACGCCCGCAGATGTCAACAATACGGTCGAGCAGGGCAAATCCCTCCTGCTTGATGACACTAGGATTGTCATCATCCATGAAGTGGCGGTAGTTGAAGGGGATGCGCAGACAGTTCACGCCTAGCGACGCGAAGAGTGCGGCATCTGCTTCTGTGAAAAAGTGGTGAATAAGCCGAGAGAAGAAGAACTCGGCCTTCTCTTTGCCGAGAACCTCTGCCAGTGCAGCGCGATGCTCATGCTCATGGCCAGAGTAGCCTGTGATGAAGTTCTCCATGTTCAGCATGCCGCCAAGACCAGCGCCCTTGAGAACGACCTGTTCGCCTGCCGCGTTGACAATGTTCGTGCCGCTGACGCGAAGCATGGTGCATGGTGGGTGGACATTGTTGGTCTTGAGCCCAAGGAGCCCTGTTGCTGGCGCCTCCCGCGCGATGGTCTGTGTGATAGTGGACATGTTGGCAAGGAAGAGAGCATATAATGGAGAGTGAAGAAGCACTTGAAGTATGTTAGGGGGCGGTGCTGTTTGATGAACTGGGAATGAAGATGAAAATGAGAAGAATGTTTTATATCTCGGTGAACAGATGATCATACCCACTAAAGGGCTTTGGCTATGGTCGACCTCCTCTCGCCAGAATTATCGTTGGGCTCCCATTGGGATGAGAATCACGCACAAGGCCGAGGATCCCATGTGTTGGCTTAAGTGCGATATTCCGCGAAGATGTGGATCATCATCCACCCCATGACCAGCTGCGGGCTTCCACGGCTACAACAGTCTCAGCTCTAGTCATGCAGCACACGGATCTGGGGTAATATTCCGGGGAAAGGGATGGAATGACTAGACAGCGAGGCACAGCCTACAGGAGCGTCACCTTGCGGAGTATTGATTCCAGCCAGTCCGCGCCTTTGCTTGAATGGTTCTCCATCGGAAAGAGCGATCTTCCGCGACCGCAAGCCTTAGTTCTGCCACGGACTCACCATGTTGCAAGCATCCTTAAGATTGCATTCAGGGTGGATTCCCACGTTTCCTGCTGGGCAAGCCACAATCATTCTGGCGGGTCTGTCATCTACTTCTACATGTATGTCTGCGGAGCATAAGTCCAGGAGGCCGAGCCGTTAGCAGGCATGCGGCCTTGGTCCAGTACCGTTCGGATCTTGCCGAAGTCCCTCGTCTCATTGCCCCAGTAGTCAAGGAGGTCGACAATGTCGTCGATCCCCTCCTGCCAGCCCTGTGGCAGCGTCACAGTCGTACCTCCGCGATCGGTGCCTTGCGCCCTCGTTGTCTCACACTTGATGGAAGCGCCCAGCAGGACCAGAGCGCTGCGTGAACAGGTCTGCATCATCGGGTTTGTGCCGTGGTGTCTGTGTCTATACCCAGGCTTGTTCAGCTTCAATCGCACGAGATGATAATGGAGGGATCGTTCAGCGTAGTGGGCGATGTTAGATGAAGTGGACGCAAAGCTGCGGCTCAAGTCTTCACATGTCAGGTATGCGGAAATGAAAGGCCAGTAAATGAGTTCAAACAAATTGATAGCGTGGCCCCGCAGCACAAAACGACAGACGTCGTCTTCTTCAGGGGGCGCCTCGAAGGACAGGTTCGGAGGCAGGGAGGAGATCCACGAGTTGACTTGCGCCTCGTGTTCCGGTACAACAGCTGCCATAGCTGCAAGGAATGATTGCTGATCCTCGTGCTGGGCCTGCAGTTCCATCATGCCGGCGCTCATGCGAGCAGTGAGTCTTCGGAGAGATATTTCGGCAAGGTAAAAATACCACGAAATTTGCTCGCGCTCACGGCGGGGGTCAGCCGATGTGTCAAGCTCCGTCCTTGGTGCTGGCGGTGTGGGGAAGAATGGCGGGTAAATGTTGGTGCTCATATCGTTGACGAAGTCGGGCATGTAATTGGTACTGCGGACCTCCCTTTCCGACTTCCAGGCCGACCAGTAGACGGCCTGCTGAAGGGTGTCAATGGCGTGATCCTGAGGATGACTTCCGTCTGAGATGCCGTGATATTTCTCCTGATTCTCTTGTGCAAGAAATGGAAGCTGCTGGCAGCCAGCAAGGGCTTGAAGGAAATAACGCCATGCCTTCAGTGGCTGGAAAACACACATCATAAATACGCCCGCGAGAAAGAGGCATTGCGGCCCTATCAACTCGTCTGACGAAATGAGAAGGCCAAGGCGCTTTTGTGCTGCCTGGAAGAAAGCCATGGCGTTATTGTAGGCAATGGTTCCCGGCATTGCATCATGACTTGGTCCGAAGGAGGTGGATAGAGACCCCAGGGCGCAGACGAGAAGGGCAAGGCAGGACTCGGGTGACCAGTCTACTCCGTTCATTATGGTTGAGAGCACCATATGTCGCGTGGAGGTCTCGTCCAGAATGGGGTTCTTGACGTGGACAAAACTGAAAAAGCTGTCGAGAAGGTCGTTCACCCGCCTAGGCTCCATGTCCAGGATACCTATTGTGGAGGCTGGAGATATCGCGGAGACAACTGTCTGGTCCGGATGTAGAAGACTATAATGCTCTTGTTCCGGGCTGAGCTTGCGGCTGAAAAGCTCCATCGAGATGATACGACCGGGTGGTGGGGGTATGATCGTGTCTATGCTCAATGGCAACGCTGTTGCTTGTTGCTCGTTGACATCACGTAACGAGTTTGTTGCTTCGGATGGCCTGATGCTTGGTTGCGAGGTGTCGACGGCCCGAATCTTGTGGGGCAACTCAGTATTTTGGACAGATACAGACCGCATGAGCTCCTCCAAGTCGTCCAGTCTCTCCAGAATTTTGAGACTTGCTGGGTCGAAGCTTGACAGGTCCACCGGAGACTGGATGCATTTTGCCCCAACTTTCAGGCAGAACGAACAGGACGGCTTAAGATTATCGCACTTGGTTCGTCGAGCGCGACAGACCTGACATGCCTTGACAGCGCGTTTTCGCTGGTATGAAGCAGTTCCCCGAGGTGCTGGGCGGGTCCTCGGAGCGGGCTGTATGGGCTGATCTGCGGTTTCCGACCTCGGATCGTGTGGCAAGTCTCCGACCGAGGACCCCATCTTCGAACTATGTGTGGTGTATTTCCTGAGGAGAAAGGATCGGGTGTTGATGGGTCTGTTGTGTTCTGGGGTTGGGACTGGGTCTCAAACTGGCTGGGTACTGGATAATGGGATGTGGAGGGGGAGCGAAGGTGCAAGTGATGATAACCAGAGGATCGTCGCGGACTGTCGCCTTTATCACACTCCCAGCCCAGCTGGAGGGGCTAATCTAGTATTGTTTAGTGCCATCACCTGATACTGATTCGAGCCTGTGGACGAACCCCCACGAGTCATTGGAGTGGCCAGAAGCAACGATTGAACGCCATTCTCCACCCCCGCAAAGCGGAATGTCGCTCGTAAACCGCCCCCAGGTGTCCAGGTTTCTCCCCAGGATGGCCCCAACTTCTGATTTACCAGGCTGAACACCATCAATGAGCCATGCAATTAGTTGCGCGAGCTGGACGGCAGTCGGTTCTGCCAGCTTGATACTACAGCCGAGCGTCGCCGACATTGTTCGATCATGCCACGCATCTATGGATATAAACCGTCAGCGGCTTCCCTGAGTTTCCACCATCCTGATCCCACAATTCGGCATCACTCTTATTATTGATTCATATCCATCCCTGGAATCAGACCTCTGACTTTGATCAAGGCATTCATTTTCTCACTGCAGAGCTTGTCTCCAGCCATATTCTATCCCAATAATGGATAAAATCGACGACAACGAGACGACCAACGTCGTCGCCACTGTCTCCCATCACGATACCAAAGAGGGCATGTCGACATCGGCAAATCAACAGGAACATGAACTCACGCTCAAGACTGTCTTCAAGCACCACAAGGCGGTCATTTGGTGGTGCTTCTACTGGGCCATGTGTGCCATTGGCTGGTGAGTGGATGAACACTTCTACGACCCAAGCAGGGGAGCTAACTTCTACTTCCCCAGGGGATTCGATGCTCAAATCAACGGTGCCATGATTTCTGTCGCTGCCTTTCGCCGTGACTTCGGATACGTTGTTGATGGAGAAGCCATCCTCCCAGCCGACTGGCAGAGTGCCTTCAACATGATCAGCACGGTGGGCCAATTCTTTGGTGGTTTCATGTGCAGCTGGCTTGCCGACCGCATCGGGCGCAAGAACTCGCTCTACGCTGGGATCGCTATTTGCACAGGCGGAATCCTCGGCGAACTTCTATCGGATACTCGTGCCGCTTTCTTGGTCTCCAAGCTTGTTTTGGGTGCCGGTCTCGGCTTCTACCTGACTCTTGCACCTCTTGCTTGCAGTGAGCTTGCTCCGGTAGCTCTTCGTGGATACGCTACAGCTGGCGTCAACTTGGGCATCGCCTTGGGTCAGCTCCTGTCCAATGCAGTGGTCAAGGCCTTTGGCGAGTGGACTAGCCGCTGGGCTTACCGTGGGCCTTTCGCCACGCAGCTTTTCTTCGTCGCGTTCCTGCTCGTTTTCCTGCCGTTTGCCCCCGAAACACCATGGTACCTTGCCCGCAAGAGCAAGAAAGAGGAGGGCCTCAGGGCCATTCGCAAGCTTTACGGCCCAAACTTCGATGCTGAGCGCCAGTGGGCAGGACTCGAGGCTACAATTGAAGAGGAATCCCGTGAGAAGTCGGCAGAGAAGAGCTTCGTCGACTGCTTCCGTGGTACCAACCGCCTTCGAACCGGCATTTCGACTGGAGTTTTCCTCTGCCAGCATCTCGTTGGTATCATCTTCGTTCTCGGCTACTCCACCTACTTCTTCCAGCTCGCCGGTCTCGACGTCAGCAAGTCCTTTGATCTCGGTGTCGGTGTCACGGCTTGTGGTGTCGCTGGCAACATCACGTCTTGGTTTGTTGTAGAGCGTTTCGGTCGTCGTATCGTCTTTCTCTCGGGTATGGGTACCCTTACCGTCCTGCTGATCTTGATCGGCATCATGGATGTTGTCCCTGCTTCCGGTGCCGGCTGGGTCCAAGCCGGCGCGACGGTTGTCTACGCCTACGTCTATTTCCTGACAATTGGCGCCATGGCCTTCGCCATTCTTGGCGAGGCTTCAAGCACGGTGCTTCGCGCAAAGACAATCTCCCTCGCCACCGCCACTCAGGCCATCTGTGGTATCGTCATGAGCATTGCTATTCCCTACATGGTCAACCCCGACGAGGCCAATTTGCGCGGCAAAGTTGGCTTCATCTTCGGCGGTCTCTCCTTGATCGGCACCGCCGGCGCCTTCTTCTACGTGCCGGAGCTGAAGGGTTTGACTTTTGATGAGATTGATCGTTTGTTTGCTGCGAAGGTACCTCCCCGCCGGATGGGAGCCATGGCCGAAGCTGAGCAGGAGTGAGCAAGAAATGGAGAGAGCACGATTATACGCCTGCTTTATATATAATCCTTAGCTATGTTATAATATTCTTGAATTCTTTGCCCTTGATGATTCTGCAATAGTACACGGCGGACTCTTTGGTGTCCGTATAGGATGAACCTAGTGGGGGAGTCAAAGACGTAGTCTTGAGTCGTGAGACTGCTGCTACTACCTTGCTGGTACGCACACTTTGTTGCCTTATAAATGACAGGAGCAAGCTCAATAATGTTTGAGACTGCGGGCCATCAGTGTGCATGTTATCTAGGCATCTTGAATAATCTTATGCCACGGATACTTGTCGGTCACTGAGGCTCAAAGTATGAAGCCCATCCAGCAGGTTCGTTAAGTCCTTGTCGCCAGCGTCAAAACCTTTATCTTGATGATGCTCCACGCCCACTCACATGCAGAGATCTTTCAACTTATGCCTAGTTTTCGCGGTCTAAGTTTCCCAAAGATAAGCTATAGAGTCATCTCGAATGACTTTCAAAGTGGTACGACATCACGCCAGTTATGCATTCAGTTCCGGATAGCACCATAAACTGTGGATTCGTCCATTTTACAGTCGACGGGAGTGTTGAATACTAGTTGATCATGAATGATGAGGTGCTCGAGGTTCCTGGGCAGTGCATGAGCAAGGTCCCAAGGCGATGACCTGTCATGGCGCGTGAGCAAAGCCCAGGACACCATGTGGTTTTCTATGCTCTCAAAGCTACGCAAGGCTCCGATGCGAGCGTCAAGTCTGTGAGCTTGATGGACTTTGCTGCTATTGCGGCGACGACTTTGTCACGCTCGATCGGGCGGTTGATGTAGTTCTCAACGCTACTAGTATCGTATGAACTGGTCTATGTATGTTTTCGCAGCCTCACACAAGGCACCAGCACGTCGTCAAGCCTATTCTCTCTGATATCATCCAGCCATGAATGTTACTATAATTTTTCAAACCTCAGTCATAAGAAGCTTGTACCTTGACATTGATCGGAAATTTGATACCTACTTGGCCGTTTCTTTGAATGTGCATAAGACGCTTAATCCAATGGTTTGAACTGGTATCTGCAAGCGCATGCGCCTAGGTCCCAAGCTGTCTAAATATGTGAGACTCAAACATCCTTTAAGCTTACAGTCGTGTTTGTCATGCCTCAGCCCACACTAACAACTGTGATTGCAACCCTACACATCAGATTCTCATGGTTGAACGATTGCAAAGTGTTTTAGAGGAAATATTTGGGTTGCATTGATTCACTCGTCCAGCGCACTGCTACTTCCAGACTTTCAAGAACCACTAGCTTCAACCTGAAGTCCGCCATTTATTCAGCATGCTTTTCAACGCCAAAACGCCAACTCAATACTACAGGCCTCCGCTCTGTCAACAAGCCCCAAAGACACTATCGCTATCATCTGAGGACTCCTCAAACGGCGGGTGCGCCAGTACTGCCCGACCCCTCAAATTCAATGAGCTGCGCCTCTTGTGCGCCCTCTCCTCTTCCTCGCTCTCACTCATCATAGCTACCTCCTCTTCAATTTCCTGTCCACCCACGGTTTCACATCCAAGATGTTGATACGCCTTTTTTCTTTTGACACCCCTCTTCGTCTCACTACCTTTTGTAGCAAAGCCAGAATCCGCACTGGGCCCGCGGAGCACAAGTTCGACCCCGTGCTTCTCCTGCCTCAACCAGTCAACAAAGCCGGCGACCGTCATCTCCTTCGCGGCCAGGAAACTCTCAATCGTCGCAACCATTTCGTCCTCGCTGAGACCCCGCTTGAGGAGCTCCTTACACACGCCCCAGAACCGCTTGCGGCGCGAGTACCACGTCCGGGCGTACGTGTCGCGCCGCCATTTTGTCGTGTACCGCTCGTCGAGCAGGCGGACGGCGCGCTGGCCGGCGAGTCCGTGCTCGTACTCGTCCCACTGCTCGCGTACCGTCTCGGGGTGCTTGTTGAAGGCGAAGATAGGCGTTGTGGTGCCGTCGGAGAGGGTCGTCAGGAGGGACGAGACGCGGACGATGGGGGCGGGATCGATGCTCGTTTCCGTGGGGACGGACGTCAGAGGTAATACGCGTGCCGGCTTCTGGAGTCTGAATCCTGAGTCCATCTTGAGAGGCTGGTGAGTTTGGAGGCTCTTGAGCTCAGGGTCCATTGTTAGCGGGCGTGAGAGCCTCAGGCCGACGTCCACGTTGGTTGGGCCACTGATGGTAGGAGACGTCTCCGTTACGGGAGGCAGACTGACAGCGGAGAACTTCCTGCGTTTATTAACGACTTTCTTGCCAGTGCTGCGCGAAGGCGGTACGATATTGGCGTACGGGTAGGGCGAGGCTGTTGTCTCTCTTGATGGAAGGTAGTCGGGGAGGCCATCATCGCAGCATATCGAGTCGACAGTCATTGGAAGGTCATCGTCGCTGTAGGGCGAGTCCACAGCCCCGGAGAGGTCATCAACCGCCTCAGACAAAGGTGATGGGAATCCTGGCCCAACATTGGTCCCCTCGTCCCTCGACGCGCTGCCCAAACGAGCACCGCGCTCCCGCAGCACCTCAGTCCGCACTTCGCCCACCATATCCTCCGTGGCAATGACCCTCCGGACGACCTCGCTCACAACATCAACTTGCATCTGCACCCGCCGCTCAACCTCCGCCTTCCACCCCTTCAGCTGGCCTACCTCGAGCCTCGAGCTCACCTCCCGCCCCTCCAGCGCTGCGATCAGCTCCCGCAGCTCGCGCTCGACCCGCGAAAGCTTCGCCTGGACAGCGGCGACCCGCTCGTCGCAACCTTTATGCAGGACCTGGAGCATGGCGACCATTTTGTCTTGGGACGGCGCCGGCGAGAGAGGGTTTCTGGCGGGGAGGATACCCAGCAGATGAGCCTGGTGCGCCCACTGCGCGGACCATCGGCGCGCCTGGTCTTCAAAGCGGATGGGCGTCTTCGGGACCGGGTGATAGACCATCGGCTGGAACGGCGGCGGCGTCGGAAAGCGTGGCGCGGTAGGTTGAACGGGCTTCTTTTCTATCGAGGTCGGAGTTCTCGACAGCGGAGTTTCGGAGCTCTGTTCACTGAGATGGGGGCTGAACGTCGAAGGGGGGTTATCTACTTGGCTGGTCATGCTTGGTATCGTCGGCGTATCGATTCTGGTGTTGATCGGACGCCACGGGAACGGTGGCACTTCGCCGCGATGGCTTTGATCCTGAGATCTGGCGAGGGTCGCCGAGAGCAGTGCCTTGTCGTTCATAGTCCCGCTGTTGGTGTCTAGAAGTGTTTCGCGGGGTTCTTGCTGCGCTCGATCGTGTTTCCAATTGCTGGTGTTGCTGAAGACAGTCGTCCGTGTTAGTCTCGTTCGTGCAGATGTTCAAGTCAAATACAGTGAAGCGATGCAGTAGTCCACTGTGGCTCAAGAGTCAACACACTTCACTCTCATGCAGTTCTGTGAAAGCCAGGACTTCACTCCGCTTTAAACAGACTCCGTCATGGTTTCTCGCCCTCACACAGACGTCCTGACCCATGAATGCGTGCCCGACTTTGAACAAAGACGACGTGTACAAACTGTCCCATGCCGTCTTTGTCTGCCTTATTGTTCAAGACTTGTGTGGGGCGGGTATTGCGAGTTGAGCTCGAGTCAAGGGAGAAAACAAAGAACATGCTCCATGCCAAGAATTAGTACGGGGCTCTGCATCAGGAAGGGTCGCTCGAAGCACGAAGGTGCTCTCAGGCCACGAGGTTGTCCGTGATAGCCGTCTCAGAAGAGCGGCGATCAATTCGCCTACGTTGTGTAAGCGGGGAGAGCAGTATTCATTGCCAGCTACGGGTGCCAGTTGGACTTATAGCCGTGAGCGATCTACCCGATGTTAAGACTTGCATGGGTCAAATACCGACCTGCTAACTCCTGGGCAATAAAAGATCCGGATTACAAGAAACGGACGCTCCCACCCTGGGGGCGAATCTCAATGACAGTTTGTTGTTTCTTGCTTCCTTGATCATCTGCTGATAGTACTGTTTATGCCTCTGATGTTTAGTGTTCAAGGAGGCCATCACATTGGCGTGGCGAAAGTCGGAAAGTCACTTCCCTGTAACCCCACGATTCTGAGCCTGCACTACATACATTGAACTCGCAAGAACAGAGAGGGAAAACCTCTCCCATTAAACGAAGGTAGTGATCACACTATGAGCTGTCAAAGTTCATCATGTCCATCGAATGCTGCTGATTCATCCCGAACCAGTTCAAGTTCTGAAGTTGCTCAGCCGGATACCCCTGGTAGTGGACAAGTCCGCTCTCGTCTGTCGAAGCACCCTCCATGATAATTGGCCTACCTTGTGACGAAATTTGCACTCCATCGCTCTCGATATCGCCCTGGAATGGCTGAGCGAAGTTCATCTGTCCTTGTAGGCCAAGCGGACTCAGGTATGACTCCATCCATTGGTCCAGCTCCTCTCTCGTCTGCTTCGGCAAAAGTATATCGGTTCTGCTATCCGTGTATTGTTGCGCGGCGTTGTAAAAAGCCCCGAAGAGCTGATAGTGATCTGCTAGACCAGGGTCCTCTGACGCGGCCCCGATGGATTGAACAAATATTTCCAGTCTTTTGAGATCGTCTCGGCTCCCATTTTCGACAACGTTGCAGAACAACACGAAAAAAGGAATGAAAGGAAGAAACAGTAAAGCCCTGAAAGAGTGTAAGATTTTCAGCTCATACAGACGATCTTGATGACTCTGATTGTCGGCTTTTCGGCCTCAAAGCCCCTGGCTGATAACGTACCAGTTCATGTATGAGAACAAAACAGGTCTTTTGCTCTTATCGAAGCTATCGTGGCGCGCAAATGCCTGTCTGGCATATGCAATGCATTCATTTGAGAAAGGCTGTGCCAGTGACTCGCTTGGCGCAGCGCGGTGAATCATAGTCAGGACCGAGAAGTGAGCAACTTCGTCCCCAATGAATAGGTACTCAAGGCAGGGCCGCGACGTTTCGTAATAGCCGAGTCGCTCGAAATGAGCCTACAATAGAGGAATGTCAACGTGACATGTATAATTAGGGATTATGTGGGTCGCTCACCTTGCTCGCCAGAGTATCTTCGTGTATCTCTCGCGCGTGCCGAGAGAGGGATTCCATACTAGCTCGTCTCGTCTCAGAGTCCAGGAGTAGTGATTGTGCCGAGTATAGATCTGTGTAAATCATGCCGGCGAGCCTAGCCATCCGAACTTGAATGTAGCAGTAAGACTGGACTGGGCATGACGTATTGCCACTACCGGGAGGAGGCACAGTTACGTCTACCTCCGAAATGGTGGAAGCACGGCCTAGGCGCAGGCTAAGAGTCTTCTCAAAGAAGTATATGAGCCAGAAGAGAAGTCCAGCGTGGTTTGGTTCTTGCGACCCACCGTCAGTCCCTCGCTGCCTTTTGTGATACCCCAGTGAGTGCGAGATCTCCCGGGCCGCAACAATCAAATCCCATGCAAGAGAGGGTCTTGATTTTTCCATCGCAAAGATTGCCTGATTATGTTGCGTCAATGGTGTTCTACATCATTACGGCTGTGGATTGCTTGAAAGGCCATGGGCGTGCTGCTTACCCCGAGAACGAGAGCGACTATCGTACGATGTGTCTTAGGCATGAAAAGCGATAGCTCCGCGATAGCCGTATCGATGTTTGACGTACAAACATTCACATACCGTTTTTCTCTCTCGATGAGATTCTCACCTTCGTCTTTCATCATGTGTGGTTCGCCGAGGAGACCTGTTGGATACATTAGCGGACGCGAGCAGCGCATACTGGCCATGCATCGCCTACAATATAGAGCGAAGTTCAGGATGATAAAGTCTGCCCTATCAAACTCGGTACCGAAATAGATATCCAGGCACAAACCCACGAGATTTGTTTTCGGCAACAGCTTCTCAAGGATTTGAACTGCGAACCCATCCCCCGCTGTATTCGTTAGCACTGGCTCAGCCCATGTATGTATCAACTCCTCGGAAGCGTAAACAAAAGAAAGTCAACACAACAAACATACTGCGACTTTTTCGGAGGAGTTGAATAGCTACGTCGAGTGGTATCATATCTTTGTGACTGCGAGTTGACAATGAAGCTTCGCCCAGAGTGGGAAGCCTGTGTTTCAAAGACCGCTGATTCTTGCGGACTACTAGAATCTTATGTTGAAGGTCATTGAGAAGACCAAGAGTATCGCCGCTGGGACTCTCCCCCCCATTGAGGGCGACTATCCCTTCGATATAGTCTGCTGCAAACTTGGAGTGGGCTGACAAGGAAGAGGGGCCTTCAGCTTCAATGTCCCCGCTATCATTTGCTTCGCCATCATCATCGGCCACGCCTTCAACCTTGCGGTACTGTGGGGTTGAAGACTGAGTATTGTAGAGCGATGATGGCTGAGAGTTGGAGTGCAAGGATGAAGGAGTAGTGGCTTGAATGGTCTGATGGCCTTGGTGGGCCGTAAGGGTCTTCCCAGAAGTTGTAGACGGCGTGCGGTGAGCTTGGGTGAAGAGCTCATCGATCCTGGAACGGGTATGAGGGTCTCCTGTCAGAACATCCATGAGGCTTTCGATCTTTTCAAGTCGCTCGGCAACGGAGGAGAAGCTTTCGGCACTTCAGCCATCAACAGGCTGCGTCAGTTTGGATAGATCTGAGTTTCATCAACATCCCAGCACTCACCCTCCGGTCGCAGCACTCGTTCGCGGCCGTCTGTGTCTTCGAACACGGGGCGATACTACGCAATTCAGTCCCATGCGCACACATGGCGAGCATGGGACTGACCTGTCGCACCGAATCTACAATTGTGAGTCCTATTTGTTCCTCAGGTTCCACGGATGAACAGGTGGAATTATCTAACCTTTCTACGTGCACAATTGTCACACTGACAACAGAAGTGTCAGTGATGGGATTTAGTGAATACGGGAAGTACATACGGCTTTAGGCGCAACATGTGCTGCATCGGCCGGCGGCGGTTCCTCAGTAGGGGACTGATCTGACTGAAGCTTGCCCGATGACATCGTCTTTGGATTCTGGAATGATGTGCCCCGAAATCCCGGCAAAGACCGCAATGTTAGACAGTGGTGCTGCGAAATTGTGTACTGGTAAGGCGAGTGTTTTACCGAAATCCCGCTGGATAATGGAGCTGAATATGGGCTCCTGGAGATAAAAGAAGGGATACGATAGTGTCTCGGAGGCCGCGAGACCCGGGCCAGGACCCCACGGCGGGGGTTTGTGAAGCCGATCGAGTCACGAAACCCCGAGGCTTGCGAATTGATCGAGACTAACGTCAAAGATTCCTTCGCAGCCAATGATTACACGCTAGGCGTTCGTGAGATAAAGTCTTTCTTCGCCCTAACTTGGGCGGTCCTGTTGTTGGAAATCTCAAATTGATCTACTCATCTGACCCTCGCTAAATCAAAGCCTTCGGCCCAGGAAAATTGACGTCAACTCCCCTTATTTACAGGTTAAACACGTCATAATTCTCCTCCGCAATAAGGTCCTGCCACCGAATGCCAGCATCTTGGGATCTTCTGGACCATAGGTCTTTCAATAGCTTGTGGATCACGCGCACGTTGCTGATTCCATAAGCTTCTTTCGCTTGAAACCATGTCGTGACGCGGGATTTCAGTTCGCAAGTTGACGCCTCCGAGCCCAGAACAAGAACAGGCCAAAGCGCGATACAGCCTCCCCTTCCGCGGGACAAGGTGTCAATCAACTCAAGCTCCCGTAATCCTATGCTTACAAGAGAACGGACGGTGTTAGTGGAGGCTTTGCGAACTGTGCGCTGAAAGTACACCAAGCTCGCGTAGTAGAAAGCTCGAGCTGCGTGTTCCTCAACAGCCATCTCGTCGTCAAGCGAGGCGTTTCGCGAGGATTGAGCAGGGGGGAAACTCAGGTATAGTTGTAATTCGAATTTATCGATTTCATGCTCCGTCGTTTCAGGCCCTTGAAGCCGGTTCATAGCTGTGATGTTTGTGAAGAACGAGCTAGTCGTTCCAGAAAAGTTGTTGGCGTCATCGAGTTTGGGTCTATCAACCAAACACATCACCTCACTAGGTATTTCCCAGTGACACAACAATGCCATTCGAAGTATATTGTCCCGAAATTCGTACTGGTCATGAGAGAGACCTCCATGCATCTGGAGATGCCTCAGGTATGAGACTCCGCCACTAAGGTGCGTTTTCCATCTTGATCGTGCGCCAGATATTGCTTCGACGATGATAGACGCCATGATGGCACTACCAAGCGACTGACGGACCTCTGGATCATCTTGGCGCCCAAGATTGAACCGAAGATGTTCGAGCTGCAGCCTTTGGTGGTTGAGGGCCAGTGATTCGAGGGTGGGATTCTTCCCCCCCGAGAGTTCGAAAAGATTGAAGGCGGATCCTGCACAGATGGAATGGAAGATCGCCTTGTTGACATTCGACTCCGTTGAGAGGCCGGAAATTCCCGAAAGAGCTTTAGGAAGCATGGCAGTTCTGAAAGCGTTATCTGGCGAGTCCACCAGCATCAATTTGCCGCTCGTGAATGTGGCCCAGTGAAAGATGAGGCTCTTCTGATATTGGGGCATTGACAGAAAGTCAACGTGTTGGGTCATTGGGACTGGAGGGCAGCCCTCTGTAGGTTGTTGCTGCCTGCATGCGAAGCGACTGGCCGTGACGCTTCCCCCACACGCAGAAGATCTAGACGCTGTGACAGGACATGATCGGCTGATCTGCTGGTGTTGTTTGTCTTGCGCTGACATGGACAACGTAAATTGGGTACCTCCCTTTTTGGTGATATGTGGTTGGCTGGCGGGCTCATCTTGAGGCACGGACAAAGCCTCCCCGGTCAGATTTGGAGGGGACTGATCGTCCTCCGACAGTGATGATGATCCTTCGTGGGGAGCTGCGTCCCTCATGAGTATGCCTCTAGGGCTTTCGATTGGTATTGTTGCATGCCTGGTGGTTTCAATTGGCAATATTTGACCCTGTTTAGCGACAACATTGGTGCGGAATGCGTCGGCCGAGCCCAATTCCAAGCCAGACGCCGACGCTGAGGGTGATGAAGATGTGGTTGTAGTCAAGGTTTCCGATGGTTGACTAATTGGTGATCTGGCACCGCTCTGTTTGACAGTCGCCGACAGGATGAAACCCCTATACTGACGAGACGCAGACCAGTTGAGGCGCACCCCATAACCTCGGCAGTTTTGGCCAGACTGGAGGCATCTCTGACACGCGGGCTTTCGCTCGTCGCACTTGACCCGCCGATCACGGCAAGTCCAACACCCCCGGAATGATCTTGGGGGCACCTGTGCCTGGGGACGTTGGCGAGGAAGGAACTCATCACCCTCTGCTGCATTTCGTCGCAGCATACCGAAAGAGGTAAGATGAGACGACTCTCCCTTGTTGATGACCTGGGACTGAAGGAGACGGACCCGACACTGCATCGACCCTGTAGTTCAATGCTTATTTTCAGGCACTTGATTCCAGAACAGGCCTTTGATGACGTGATGAAATTTGGACATGCGGCAGAACTTGGCGAAAAGCGCACTTTGTCGAGCCCAGGCAGAGATTCATGAGGGCGAGGTTTCCATACAGCAGGAATGCCTCTGGTTTCGGTGTCCGAATGTTCCGACCGCCATCCGAGAATTATGGGTATTGCGACTCGCTACTAGACGGCAGCCGTGGTCGTGAGGTGCAGTGCACTAACCAAGCCAAGGTACCTGAACCACGGCGAGAGAGAGATATTCCGAAACCATATGACAGATCTTTTTGGACGTTATTGTGCTTGATGTGTGGTCGGTTGCAGCGACTCTACAGCCTGGTCAAAGTAACAACGGGAGGACTTGGCATAAATCGATGTCCCAATTCAACAGATGTGACCATGCATGGCTCTTCTGGTAGCATAGCACCTGTGTGGAAACTCAAAGGTACTGCGTGTCTCTTCGGCCGGCTGTGAGCGCGAGGGGTCCACCAGCGAGAGCGTGTTCGTCATCACTGGGCTGGGTAGTCTGAGACAACCAGAAAGCTTAGCTGACTACGAAGATCGACGGTGGCATCGCCCCAGACTGCCTATTTAAGCCTAGGCGATCCGGAGAACGAGTGGATCTTTATGAGGTGTGTACGAGAGCGACCTGGCGACTCAACTTGATCTCAACTGAGTCGCGCTTCTAGCTGCGGTCCTACCATCATCCCCTGTTTAATTAGCGTCCGGTCTTCGACGTCGCTCATTGTTCAGGCCACTAAGCTTCAGCATCATGTCGGCCGAACCTGCCTATTTAGGGAAACTGGATCATGCCAGAATGATCAGAGGTGTTTCTTCCTGAGCTGCGTAGCAAGTCGGACAAATGAAGAGATTTTGCTGTCTGCCAGCATACGCCCGACCGCCCGGGGATGTGTGCCTGGCGCGTTGTAAGCGGAACAATTGATAACCTTTCGTCGTGCTTGGTCGCTTCGAGCGATGCCAACACAACAAACGCCCGTCGGTTTTTGTATTTGCTTATTCTCCGCGCACATTACTTGAAGATCTTGGTAAACGTATGCCAAGAATAATTATTTCCTTCTTTCAGCCTTGAACAGTCGTGCAACAACATGGCTACAATCATACCGCAAGACTCAGGGGCGCTTGACTTGGTCGGGGAGGGCCATGGGAAACTCGCGAATCATCTCCATGGATCCGAAAAAAAACGTGAAAGCATCAACTTCACCGACGAGACCATTGCCGATGAGCTGATGGAAAGCCTCGGGTACCGTCCAGAGCTGCAGCGCAATCGGTCAACGGCTCATGTGGCGTTTATGGGCCTTCATTCTGGCGGCAAACCCCTATGGCCTCGCGACGACATTGAACTACCCTCTAATAGGCGGTGGTCCTGTCAACATAATCTGGGGCTGGCTTTTGG